GAAAGCTTTTATGAAAGGTCCTAAGAAATGTTATGAAAGGATCCTGTGGTCTTTGCCTACATTTTATGAAAAGAACATAGCCTTTATGAGAAAGAAAGACACAGGACACACCTATGAAAGGCCTTTCATAAAACTTGTGGACTTATACACACAGCTCTACAGGCAAGTGCCTTGGTTTTATGATAAAAGTGGTAGCCACCAGTCAACCTCCACGAAGTACTCGCGCTGCAGGTCTGATGTGTCGTGGGCGGTCTGGTTTGACAGGTGTCGGCAGGCAATTCGCATGTCACGGGGAGTGAGCTTGCGAGGGCGCCCCGTTGAATGTCCAACTTTGTAGTAGTTCTCCTTTCCCCCATATCTCTTCATGATGCGCCTGATTTGTCAGTCAGAAAGGTCATGACGATCAATCAAAGTGGCGCAGATTTCATCATTAGAGTACCCAGCCACTCTCATGGTACAGATCTTTTCTCGTTTTGTTGGGGTCGTATTAGGAGCCATGGCAGGGTTGTGAACATAAGCAGATTCCCCTGGAGGTGCGGTTTGCAGTTCCAATGAAGAGAGCCAGAAAGTTGTTTGATGCGATGCATTTGAATATCCCACGGTCACGACACAAATAATTTTACTGGCCACAAATATGCTGCTCATTTTGTTCAAATGCTCTGATATTTTTCTAGTGTATAGAATGGATGTAGTAGTTTACTGTAGTCATTGAAGTTTTTCAAAAAGTTCAGATTTCTTGGAGATACAAACCAATTTTCATCAAAAAAGTTTTCAGACAATCTTTTTGCCTAGTTAGTGTACCTGGGTTAGAGTCCATGCTGTCAAGTTCACCAGAAAGGTTGTTGAACTTGTCATCTTGATCACAGGCTGTCTCACGATCGCAAATACGATCTCTGATATGATCCTCATCATCATGATGACCACTTGTTTTCTTGGGTGAGTTATGTTGATCCCTATCTTCATCCTCATCGTTTTTGGTGCTGTCACCATTGCTGTCATGGCCATCGTTGTCATGATCACTATTGTCTTCATCATCCATGTTGCCATTGTCACCATTGCTGCTGCTGCTGTTGGTGTTGTGGCTGTTGTTGTCCATGTCAATGTCGCTGTTATTGTTGATGTCATTGTTGTCACTTTTGTTGTCGATGTCACTGTTATCGTCATTGGTGTCTCGGTCACGTACAGATGGGAGAGTGCACATGGCTGGGATGGGAGGTGCAGCAGCTGGGCAGACTCGCTTAGGTGGTGCAACTGAGATACTACTGGCCTCAAGTTCCTGTTCAGCTCTGTGCACCAGTTAGTGAAAGGGATTTGGGATAGGTGGTAGACAGACCTTGTAAGTTTGAGAGGGGAGCCAGCCTTAGCATCCTCTTCAGCTCGCATGGCAGATGTCTTTCTGAAAGTAATCAAGTGTTAGTATCATGGCAAGTGTGGGGCAAAAGGCATACCTATTTTTCTTCCCTTTTGGTGCTTTCTTTTCCTCCTTCTTCCCCTTTCTGCCCTGCTCTTTTCCAGTTCCTTTGACTTCATCTTCATCATACTTTTGCTGCTTTGTTTTGGGGTTTTCAGCAGCAGATGATGTTGTTCGTTTATGTTTAGAGGGTGGTTTAGATGATGAGACTGGTGGATCACAAGAAATACCACTGTGGTTTGTTGGTCTTTGGGATCGTGTGTTGGTAGCCATAGTTGCTTGCTACTTATATAAACACAAAACTAATATAGATTTACAGAAAAAGACAGCTGAATGGAGACCAAGATGGATGATAATGGACACAAGATCACAAAGATGAATTGGATCAACTAAAACAGATGGTGTGAACTTAGACACAGATACAAACAAGGATGAGAACGAACAGTTAAAGAACAAGTTCAAAATTCAGATGGTAACTGGATAGGGTTGGCTGTGGTTGGATGTGGTTGGATGACGTTGAGCGGGGATGGGGGATGGTGACGTGGCAGCTGTTAATGGGCACTGGGCACCTTTCTGGTTAGCAAGGGTGTTTGCGGTTCCTCACAGAACACTTACCTGGTGTGGGTGTGCATTACACGGCACATGTTGGCCGTAGATGACAGGTAGCTGCTCTGGCGCTCGTTGGATTAGCATGGATGGGGATTGTGGGGGGTTGTGGGCAGTACTTTACAGTGCCCCACCTATTCCTGCAGGAATGGGGTCATTCCAGTGGAATTCCAGGGGAATCCTGCAGGAATAGAGTCATTCCAGGGGAATCCTGCAGGAATAGAGTCATTCCAGTGGAATTCCACTGGAATAGGACTGGAATCAAGCAGAGTAAGTTTTTTTCAACTCCAACCTTATCCTGATGACTTGGCACTCATATTTCCTTATAAAATTCACATGTAGAAGTCATAGATTGAGTTGTAATGTATTTGAAATGTATTACCACACACACTACACAGTTTATCTTAAAGGGAGGGGGTAGGGGAGGGACAAGGTGGGGATGTATTAGAAATGTATTACTACACACACTACACAGTTTATCTTAAGGGGGGGGGGTAGGGGAGGGACAAGGTGGGGGTGTATTTATATTTTTGGGAGGGACAAGGAAGGGGGAAGAACAAGGGAGGGGAGGGAGGAAGGGGGAAGGACAAGAAAAAGGGAAGGAAGGAAGGGGGAGGGAGGAAAGGGGGGAGGGAGGAAAGGGGGGAGGGAGGAAAGGGGGGAGGGAGGAAAGGGGGGAGGGAATGGTGGAGCAAGGGGGAAGGGAGCAAGGGGGAGGGACAAGGAAAGGGGGAAGGAGGAAGGGAGGGAGGGAATGGTGGAGGGGAGAGGGAGTGTGGCTGGGACCTTGGCCATTGTCGTCCCATTGTTGTGTCGCATTTCGTTGTCACCTCCTCATTGCGTGTTCGCGTTTTCGTCGTGTGTCCATGTTTTTGCGTTATTCGTGGGCGTTGTCGTTGCCGTCGTCGTGGGCGCTGGTTGCCGTTGGGGGTGTCGTTGTGGGTGGCGTTGGTGTGGACGTGGTGGTTTTGGTAGGCGGCGTGGTGCCGTCGTGTGCCCTGTGGGCAGTGCGTGTTTTTCGGTGGGCGGCACGTGTTTTTCGGTGGGTGCTCGTGTTTTTCGGTGGGTGCTCGTGTTTCTCAGGGGGTGGTGGGATGTTTTCGTGGGCAGGGTATGGTTTTCGTGGGCGCTGGCAGTGTACATGGGCGGTGGGCGTCGTTTTTTGCCTGTTGGGTATCGTTTTGTGTCCGGGGGCATTGTTTTCATGGGTTACAGTGCTCGTTGTTTCATGACGTGGCGTCGCCGCGTTGTTGTTGAAGGGTGTCGTGGTCAATGTTGGTGGTCGTGGTGGCCATGGGTGATTGAGGAGCGATGTTGGCGGTGGTGGCTATGGGTAACGGTGATGGCGTGGCGTTGGCGGCGGTGACAAGCATGGCGGTGGTGGTGGAAGAAGAGAGTGGCCATGTTTGGTGAGCATGTTCACCAAACAAACATTGTTTGTGATCCATTGAAAATAAATAAACTATAATACAGTAACAAATAAATAAAATAAACAGATTGGACTGGAATCCCATTCCTGCCCACTCCAGGGAACACCATTCCTGCCCATTCCGGGGAACACCATTCCGGGGAACATTCCGGTGTATATTCCGGAATCCACTGGAATTCCACCAGAATAAACAATTTAGCAGGGCCTTCTGCTAAATTCCATTCCACCGGAATGACCGGATTCCTGCAGGAATAGGGGGGGCACTGCTAAGACCTCGTTGATTCAATCAAATGTCTCATCTACTAAGACGTTACAGATAACTAACTTGAGGCTTTACAGCCTAAAATGTCGAACCTAGTACACCCGTCTCAATTGGGGAGCTGTTAAGGAGTGGCTTCATCCAGCTCAGCAGGGTTCTTGTCGTTATTGGTGAAATCCTTTACATGAATGTTAGTACCATGGAAATAATTTGAGGCATGATCGACATACTGAATCTATCATCCTCTGATCCTACACCCACATTGTCGTCGCATTGTCCACACCAGCCTCAATTGAGAAACTTGCGAAGGGCACGAGGAATCTGGCGAGAAAGCGAAATGAACACGAAATGAACACGAAATTAATAGCAGTGGAGTAAGGCTGACCTTTATCCATCATGAAGAACACAAGAGAAGGCTTCTTCGGCGTGATCGATAGACCCATAGTGATCATAGAGTATTCCAATCCCATACCAAGGCTTTGGGTCAACGGATGAATGCGCGTTATCCACCAGGCATTGTGCATCCAGGCACATTATCAATTGCATATCTGGGTGTGTCACCCATTGCGTGTCCGGGTGCATTATCCATCATGCGTCCAGACGCATTAACGATTGTGCGTTCAGGC